TGTGTGTGTGTGTGTGTGTGTGTGTGTGTGTGTGTGTGTGTGTGTGTGTAATAGAAGTAAGTACAATGTTGTGGTTAGGATTTGAAGGTGGTGCGCTGGAGCAGAGGTTGGTGGGGTTTGGAGTTAGGTTGGGGCCCTGCCCAGAATACAATCTGAATATTGCGTAGTTGCCAGACCTCTGCACATTCATTCGCATGCACACACACACACACACACACACACACACACACAATCTCATGTGTGTGCGTGTGTGCCAGACCACCCAAGAAGCCTGAGGCCCGCAGGGTCTGTGGTGATGAGCAGGCGCTGGGGCAGCGCACACAACATACATACCTTGCGTATTCACTCGCACACAGAAATGCACAAAAAACGCACACATCTACCACTTTAAAGAAAAATAAAAAAGGCTGTACTGACCCCTCCTCAAACCACACCTCAACGCCAAGCAGACATGAACACACATCCTTGACCTGCCCTCTTTGTTCTGCTCCCGACTCCATCAGTGAGAAAAAAAAGTAAATTCAAAAGCAGAAAACCTCCAAACACTGACTTGAACAATTATTAGCTCCACAGACGCACAGTGTGCKCTAGCTGAACCCAAAACATCCATCTTTAAATTGTTTATTCTGTATACAAACGTGTGTAGTTTGGTGTTTTTAGTGCATAGTTCCGTCTTTTATAGCTAATGCTGACGGAGAGGATAGAAGAATTGTAATGGTGGACAGAAGGGAGATAAAGAGATGCTGGAGTCAACCACAGGATGCATTTAACACTGATAAAAAGACGAGAACTGTAAAACATGTCTTCAAAAGCCACTGGGTATGGTTATCATGTGTGGCTGTGTTCCAGTAAAACAGATGACTAACAGTTCTTGTCCATGAAGTTTGTCCTCTACTAGTCACACAACCACAAGTGCAAAGTATGCATGGCATGTGTGTGTGTGTGTGTGTGTGTGTGTGTGTGTGTGTGTGTGTGTGTGTGTGTGTGGTATACAAAATGAGGCGGCATGAATTAGAGCCACAGGGTAAATGGATCATGTTTGACAGACTTGCTGTACTAAAGCCATCTATCCACACATGCTAATATTTTACTCGCTGTGGCGACATCTTACCTCCTAACTGAGCGGGAGGGAATTTTTAAAAAAAAAGCCCTGGCTCTACTGCTCATCCCACAAATGCTTGTTCCTTATAAATGTGGCACCATTTAAAAGGGGGAAATAACAGGCTTTCCAACATTAAAKAAGTTATTGCCAAGAAGCATTGTTACAACAAAGAAATAATCTACTAAACCCAAATTTCCTTTCAAGAAATACAYTCACAACATCTCTGCGCACTGATGACACTTGAATGTTTCAGTAATTGGCTGCCACCAGTTTTGATCAAAACACCCATTATAATAACTACTGATAAATAAACACAGGTGCAAACAGTTACTGTATTTTATGTTGACATTGGCAGCCAAGGGTTACTTTGATCTCTGATTGACCTCTGACTCMGTCTTATTTATCCATGCATAAAGAATCGTACAATGGAGACCTTCACTCGGGATATTTTTAGAACACTAGTCACATGACTATGTCCGGTCAACACCACAGCTGCCATGATTAGTCGACAACTAATTGACTATTAAAATAGTCTATGACTAATGTAATAATCGATTAGTCGTTTATTTTTTATTTTTTGTTTACTTTGTTTTTCTCTCCAAACTGCTTTGACACCTTCCACTGCCACATCTGCCTTTCTGTCCTTGACACAGTAGTGGTACCCGGGGTAGGCCATGGACGTCACAAGACATTATACAGACAGGCATCATGGCTACCCAGCAACGGAGCTCAAAAGTGTGGGATCATTTTAAAAAAATGAAAGAGAAACCTGTGCAATATCTGCAGAGCTGAACTTGCCTTCCACAGCAATTATTTTTAGTTAGCATATACAGTAGCTAAAATCTAACCATGGTTATATAATAGCAGCTGCATTCTGGCACGATAAGCTGTATGTTTTATATTCAATTAACGTATGATCCGATTAGTCGACTAATCGAAAAGAATAATTGGCGATTAGTCGACTATAAAAATAATCTTTTGTGGCAGCCCTAGTCGACACTGATCTTCCCAACATGAGTTTATTGTGTAGTCGTGCAAGTCTTTTCAATTTTTTTTATCTTTTTATACTTTTTGGAATCTAACGAAACTTCTTTTGTCTCTTTATGTTTGTATATATTATAATCTGCATACAAGTGGGAATTTGCACCCAAGTTTTTCACTCACCTGTACGCCTGTGCTTATGTGATATGACAATAAACCTGATTGATTGATTGATTGATTGATTGATTGATTGATTGATTGATTGATTGATTGATTGATTGAAAGGAGTATTTTTGATCGCGTTTCCCAAGCTAAGATGCTAGGCTAACTGCTGGATTCAAACGATGAGACAAGCCGAATTTGACCGGAAAAAAGTGCAACTATGGACTTAATGTCTGCTCCAAACATTGTATTAAAGGACCAACGATGGACCACCCGTATCCTACCCCTGCCCTTTCTGTCAATAAACAGGTACAGTAAACCTTACTGTTTTTACTCTAGCCTACTGCTAGCTTTACTGCTAGCATTCATGCTAGCCTCATGCAGCATTCTATGCAGTCAGTCACACATTTGGTGACAATATTATACTCACAAAATTCTAAACATCTCCATTATGTTTCTTTAAACGATGCAGAAGCGGTGGCTCGAGCAATAAAAATACACACAGACAGATGAAGCAAGCTAAGCTATAAGACATCAATAAAAACACCAACCTTTTTAACAACTCCACTCGCTTTCCAAGTCTGTCGAAGACCTCGACCCTCCAGCCAACCTTTCAACTGAACTTCCTTGTGATTCGGATGTCAAAATGTGCTCTAGGAACGTCTTCTTGTTACGGTATTAACACCGACTCTCCGTAGAACCTAGCCTGAAGGTCCCCATTCACATAATGTAGCTTTATTCTTTGATAATATTTCCTTTCAAAGATGAACTTCTCCATACACAAAGTGTGATGGTTAGCAGAGTCAGGACAAATAGAGGCAGAAAGTCTACAAGAAAAAAAAGGTCTCCATTGTTGTTGTGGTTTCTAGAACACAAAGCAACAGTAACTCTCAGTAAAGTAACTTACAGAATCATTCTCTGTCCAGCCTCCTGAATATCTGTTATAATGTAGGCTGGGAAATACTACACGTTGTTTGCAACTTGTTTAACTTCAGTTTTATACGTACACTCTATTTGATTCTATGAAGTTCCCATCAGAAACCATCAAGAGTTTAAACTGACCTATTTTATTTTTTCTTTCCACGAGCCCCTATGTATGACTTCGAGTGTTTAAATGAATTCGCAAGTCTGTGATTATTGGAGGCATTTTGTCAGACACTGTTCTGGTGACGTCTATAATTACTGGCAGATGTTGGAGAAGTCAGCGCTCCCCTCTGGACCCCCCCCCCCCACACACACACACACACACACACACACACACGTTCACATGAACGCGCGCCTAGACCACTGCTTTTCAAACCTCCCACACACAGACACTCACACATGGACACAAGGATATCCAAGAACTCTCACTCACTCACACACACGCACACACATTTGCTCACACACAGTTGGATTCGGTTACACGGACATCAGCCACAATCTGGACAGACACTGGGCCCACCACTTAGCAGCCTCAAAGGCGAAGGGAGGAGCGGACTTAACAAAACACACACTCCTTCTCGAATACGGACCCACAAACCTTCAGTTTGATGAATGAAATCAATAAAACAACAGTCTGGTGAAATCTGGAGGCAATGAGGACAGGAACATGACTATTAGTCGGAGAGCACCCCCCCCCCCCCCGGGCCTCATGACTTCACTCTCACACACTCACTCAGGCAGCATACCTGCAAGGAAAAGGCTCGAAGCGCTGGGATGGGGATGAGAGCGGCCATGAAGAAGGCTGTGACGTTACTGATGGAGGTGAGAGCCACGCTGGCCCCCGTCCTCTTCAAACACTCCCCCGTGCGATCCTGGCAGAGACAGACAGCGAATGAAAGCAGGAGCTATTAAACTTCTGATCAGCTTGCAGCCAGCGGCAAAAGTGTAACATCTTGAGATTATGAGCAGTTATCATAATTCTTCTGCAACTGACAAGTGATTGAAACGGGATTAGAAGACTTGAAGTGCTTAGATCATTCTCTTGGGATAACTTCTCTTTAAAGTGTGGAGGGYAAAAAAAAGACTAAATCTTTAGAGGGATACGTGACATTAAAAATGTTTCTGCTTTTACAGTAAATAGCCCCAAAGCGGAGTGACGTGCTCGGCGGGTGACCGTGTGAAGGTTTTTTTTAAGAACGTGCAGGACCACACAGGGAGTATCTGCAGGRGTGTCCATCTATGTGTGTGAGTGTTTCTGTGTGTGTGTGTGTCAGACAGGGGAGATCAAGTTCAGCTCTGTTTCGTTTCCATCTCAGCCACACAAAAGGACGCTGGGGGATGAGGGAGACAGACAGACAAGAGCTGGAAGGGAAGGAAAACAACAAAACAAGCAAAAACATGTCGGCGTCTTTCACCCTTCCTGTAGATGAAATGTTACCGCATGAGCATTAACAGCCCATGTGTGCCATGTGTGGCAGCAAAAACATGTTTTTTGTTTAAATCATACTTTGTTATATATCTTTTTTTTTTAAAACTTGTGTTATTTGTTTACATACAGTAATTATAGGCCTCGCATTCCTTAAAAGATTGCGTATCGCCCACTGCTCTTCTTGCCAGAGTTTTAACTCAGATCATCTTAAGATGAGAGGGGATGGAGTTTTAGTTGTTTTGATTAAACTTTGTAAATGACATTTTGCTCAATCTCATGCAAGTTTTAGTTTCAGCAAAGATTGCTTTGCTTGAATCGTGTTGACAACCAAAGTTAATTAGCAGTAGGTTTATACGAGTTTGTTTAAGAAACATTACTGCCTTTTGTTCTTCGCATTTAAAAAGAAAAAAAAAACAACAACAAGACATGCAACTTTATACTCCAAAAAAAATAAATAAAGATGAAGTCAAAACATCTGAAATCCAACAAGATTGCATTATTTATCGCCTTGGACAAAACAAACATTTTTGCCGTGAATCAGTGCGTAGATAAATGGGCTAAGTGTGTGGCACATGATATGTGTGATGCTACATCACAGGCACAGACAGGCTTTCACACATTCCTCTGCGGAAGAGATAAACATCAAAGCAGGAGACACAGAGTAAAAGTGGAGGTTTGCCTTACCTCAAATGGGATCCTCTTGTTCTGTCCGGTTTCACTGAAGGCATGAGCGAGGAGGAAGACGTCATCCACTCCGACACCCAGAGCAAGGAAGGGAAGGACCTGAAGGACGGAGGCACGCAAACATTTTGCTCTTACTGTTTTGGAGGTAAAAGAACAGTAAGTACAGAGCATTCAGATGTGTGTTGTAATGATGTCAGTTTCTGTTCATCCTCACATTAACGGTACTACAGTGTACAATCCCTAAATAACCTATAGATGAATCAAATGTTAAAGTGAAGTGTTTTAATGTTTTTGTGTTAAGGGCACTGCGGTGGCTGCACACCTAGATTCAAAGAAGAAGAGCCATCAATATAACAAAAAACTAGGGCTGCACAATATACCGCAAATATATCGTCATCACAACATATTTATATCGCAAAGAACTGCTTGGAGTGCAAAAATGTTTGACAAATGTATTTTAAGAGTTTTGAAGTTGGTTTCACACTAACACAATATTTATCCAGTAGGACAGAGTCTCGCGGCAGCAAAAGCTCACACTAGGGTTGGGCGATATTGGCAAGAAAATTGATCACGATTAATTGTGGTATTTAGCCGTTTAACCAATTATTATGATATGGAGTCCTTGGACGCCTGCATGTCCTGGTCACAGGACCAATTTAAATCACTTTAGTGGGAAAGATTTGCTTTCCGCAAAAATCTGTTGTCAAAAGTACAGATTTCAGGCTATAGCCAATTTTTTAWATAGWGTTGATAAACCAAGTAAAACTGGAGTTATGATAAATAAATTACAGAACTTTTTTTTAAATATTCGTCATATTTTAATGGGAGAGGAGCACTGAGCGGACTGACTGGGGAAATCTCCAGTCAGTTTGCCTGGCAAGTGCCAAAAAATAATCGATGAAAGTTTTTCRGACGATTAATTGCACGCGATACAATTTTGCCCAACCCTAGCTCATGCCCACGGCCCAAATATTGCCAAAAATTCAAAGGGTCACATAGAGTAGGAAGTACAGTCTAGAAAGGGAGGGGAAAAAAAAAAGACATATACCGCACCTGATATAATCATTGCAATATTTACAAATATTATTGCCATTGCAAAYTTTTCCAATATCGTGCAGCCCTATAAAAAACACCTATAAAGTTACGAAGTAACAATGATTTTTCCTTTATGTCTTTTATTCAATATGATTGACAAGCACAAACATTACCAAAATAAAAAGGCAAGAAAGCTTAAATAAATCAGAACTGCTTTTGTCCGTTTTTTTATTACTTTCTGGTATTAACGTAAAGCTAAGATTAGCTGGCTGGTGGCCTGTGTGTGAGTTACCTGCGTGGTGGCAGCATTGAAGGAGATACCCAGAAGAGAACAGAGGCCCAGACCAGCTGCCACAGACAGAGTCACCAGCAGGACCCCCGCCAGGCCCACAGCACCCTGAGACTTGGCACAATCCCACCTCAGCATGGTCAGACAGGCGTAGGCCAGCTGATTGTGAAAAAAGCAAACCAGTCAGCCTGTCGCTCATCACCACAATTAACACATCACCAGTCTTAGATCAGCTTCTTTATTCCTAAACGTTTGCTTTTTTCGTTCCGTTACGGCTGTGCTCTTACCATCAGCAGGTATCCACTGGCCACTCGTATAACACTYATGTCAGAAAAAGACTTGAGAATATCCTCCAGGGTGGTGGTGGTGAAAGGTAAGACGATCTGCGAGGAATTGGCTGCGACGCTCTGCAGCACTGCCTGGAAGGAGGCGAACAGAAAGATAGAGTGACTTACTGACACTGTCTCCCCTTATTGTCAGTCATCTGACAATATGGCAAAAATATTAAGATGTAAGGATGGTAAAAATTGCAATATAAGATATATCAGAAAAGTCAACTGGAACACCCCCTAAAGTAGGAATCCCAGCTTGGATAGTTAGAGATTCCTGACCAAAAAATATATATATCCAAATGGTAGCTAGCCTGGTCACTGAGCATGACAGTTAGTAAAGTAATAAAGATTTGATGTTATTTCTACATGAGTCCCAACTTCCACAGTACTTCTAACCTCACTAATATGTGAGTCATATCACTGTTGATATAAAATAACTAAATCTAAACTTGCACACAATAAAAACAAATAAAACCCCTGAATAATGAGTTTTAACACAGCGACGGGATAATAAACAGACATGAGCCATCCTCCTTTTCTCCCACTATTAGAACGCAGACGAATGGCTTCAGCATTAAACTGTGGGGAGTAATGATCTCACTCAACACACACACACACACACACATATACACACACGTGTTATCACATGTTGAACACAGCCAAAAATATAATTTAAAAAAATCATACTGTACATCACAAACAGTAACAATACTTCATCTTCTGCTTCGATGAAACATTTCCTTATCGATGACTCCTGCACTAAAAGATCAATCCTGCACACACGCAAACGGTCACAGCATGTGGAACAGAGGTTGAGGCCCCACAAAACAAAGACCAGATGATGTCACACTGGAGCCACCAATGAGGCCACAGCTGGGAAAGCGATTGTGTTTAAGCTTTTAAGTGTGTTTGCATGTCTGTCTGCATATGTGTGTGCGTGTGTGTGTGTGTGTGTGTGTGTGTGTGTGAGTTAAAGACACAGAGCGAAAAAAAAAATGAGAGAGATATCCAGCACTCTCTTAATGTATTCCAGACATGCTCACCCTGTTGCTCTTCTCAAACCGAGCAGCAAGAGGATAGCTCCAGCTCTTACCACACACCCACAGAGGTTCTACTATCTATCAGGGGCCCTGGCTGTAGTCGAGGCCTTCCCATGTTCACCTGTATCCGGCCGGTGATTTATAACGTGGATGCAGAGGATTTAGAGTCGATTTCTTTTCTCTTTCCCTCCTTGTCCTCCTCTCTGAACCTCATACTTTCCTTCTCGCTTACGGAGCGCTGGAGCCCTCACCTCAGAGTATCTTCTCTGCCAGGCTTCCAGTATGGCTGCAGCCTTCTCTTCGTTCCAGTTGATGTGGGAAACCTCGTCGTAGCCTCGAAAGTGCTCAAACATCTGCTTGGGAGTCATCAGTTGGAACATGGTCTGTAAAGCCTGGGCACTGGAGAGGACGGAGGGAGGAAGGATGGCAGGGAGGGAGGAGATGGAAGAACACGAGGAGGAAGGAAACAAACGAGATAAGTGAGGAGCAAGTCTTTGAAAACAACTATTTTTTTTACACAGGTAGAACAACACTGTTATACTCCTATATGCTTTGTGACTGATGTCACAGCTGATATGGTTTCAACTACTGATAACAGAACATTCTTTAAAATGACCAGACTGTGTCTATTTAATACAAGAGACAAGACACTGAATAAGTGGCCAAATAATGACATTAATAAGAAGACATAGCACCGGCAGACCAGTCCCTAGTAGTCTGGTCAAAGGAAGTTGAACTAACTTAAAAAAGGAACAATGTCATATCTAACAAGAAAATAATAAAGCTTTACTTTTTGAAAATGTTGGAAGTTTTTTCCCCCCCAATAATAATAAWATATTTCTTTTAATGTTGTGTAATCTTTTTTTTCCTCCTCATCTGTCCTTGTGTGGTTTTTAGTTTTTCTGTTAAGGGTTGTGCCTCCTCAAGATGTCGTCATGAAGATGATCCTTGCTTTGTGCAGGGTCAGTGGCAGCATGACCCAGGGCACCTGTTCTCCTATGTTTGTTATGTTCTGTCTTCTTCTGAATGGGTGTTCTGAACTGGAATTTCATTGTGCCCTGTACAATGACAATAAAGGTCTAATCTAAAAATCGAATCTAATCTAGATTAGGTTGTGTACGAACAAATAAACAGTTCTTATAATGGGCCACAATGAGAAACAAAAATAATTGGCTAGTGGCTGTCTCAAATTCTCTAGACCAGTGGTTCCCAAACTTTTTGTCTTCTGACCCACAAAATATCCATGGCAAAAACTTGTGACCCCAAATATTACTGGTCTGAGTACACTTTGTTAAAAGGCTTTTTGACAATCTAAACAGCTTGTACACAAATATAAATACTTGTTTATACTTATTTTG